GAAAGCAATATAGAACTTCGCCTTCAAAAACAAAGAGAAAATAAGACTGCAATAATCAATAGGCCGAAAAACAATTAAATGTAAATTAGTCATTACGTCGTAAAGTGTTGAACTAAACTTGACAAAATTTCGGATTCAGAATAATCCGTCAATTTCTCCATTTTCGTTGACTTCAACATTCATAAATCCACAATGGGTAGGTAAGCCTGGAATTGTCTGAATCTCAGCAGCTAAGGCATATAAGTATCCAGCCCCAATAGATGCTCTTACGTCTCTAATAGGAAATTTAAATCCCGTTGGGACACCCTTTAAAGAAGCATCGTGAGAAAGAGAGTACTGTGTCTTAGCAATACAAATTGGCAAGTTACCAAATCCTTGTTTAGTGTAGATATCGATCTTCTTTTGAGCTTCTGGCAAAAATTCAACTTCACCTGCACCGTACATGTCCTTCGCAATGGTGGTAATCTTGTCCGCAACAGAAGGAGCAGTGTCATACAAAAACTTGAAATTCTTTTCCTCGTTACTTGCCTTAATAACACCATTAGCTAAATCAACTGCACCCTTTCCACCTTCTTCCCAATGATTCGATACGATTGCATCGACTGCACCTGCCTTCAATGCTTCCTCCTTTATGATCTCATGCTCTTTATCTGTATCAGAAGACATTTTATTAATGGCAACAACAACTGGAATTCCATAAGTCATTGCATTAGAAATATGTTTCTTTAAATTTGAACATCCTTTCCTTAATAATTCGGTGTTTTCTTGTGTATATTCTGGCGCCAAAGCTGAACCAGCTTTTACTTCGGGCCCTCCACCATGAACCTTCAAAGCACGTACAGTCGCGACAATTACAATGACATCTGGAACTAGGCCTGACGAACGACATTTAATGTTAATAAATCTCTCACCACCCATTGTAAAGTCGAAACCAGCCTCTGTAACTACGTAGCCCTCTTGTTCTGATCTCTCTTCTTGAGACAAGTCAGGAGATGTACCGGCCAACTTTAAAGCCATTTTGTCAGCCAAAATCGAAGAAGCCCCAATAGAAATATTAGCAAATGGCCCAGCATGAACAAATACCGGAGTTCCTTCTAAAGTTTGCATTATGTTTGGCTTGATAGCATCTTTCAATAATGCTGTCAAGGCACCTGCACAACCGATATCTTCACAAGTGATTGGGACACCAGCTTTGGATGAAGCGATCACCATTTTTCCTAACCTTTCTCTCATGTCTTCTAAAGAATTTGCCAAGGCAAGAATGGCCATACACTCAGAGGCGACAGATATATCAAATCCAGTTTTTCTAGTCATGCCTTTTTCCGTAGGTGCCTCCCCGATTGTAATTCCTCTCAAAAATCTATCATTACAGTCGACTACTCTTCTCCATGTAATGGTGTCTGGATCAATATCTAACCTGGCAAAGTTTGTGATCTCTTCCTCTGTCAATTCGTTGGGATCAATTTTTTCAATTCCTAATTTCTCCAATCTCCTCAACATTGATGGGGTGAATTTTCTCACACCCTTTTTTGCCGGAACCAATCTTCTATACAATGGTCCATCTTTCTGAGTGTTCTCGTGAAAGATTCTGGTATCAATTGCCGCAGCTAAGAGATTATTTGCCATCGTAATGGCATGAATATCACCAGTGACGTGCATATTGAATTCATCCATTGGAATAACCTGAGAATAACCACCACCAGCAGCACCACCTTTGATTCCAAAAGTTGGTCCCATAGAAGGTTGTCTCACGTTAGCGAAAACATTCTTTTGCAAATGAGCACCTAGAGCCTGAGCTAACCCAACAGTCGTAGTTGATTTACCTTCACCAAGAGGTGTCGGGGTAATCCCAGTAACCAAAACATATTTACCGTTTACTTTTTTATCTAAACGATTCAAAATATTAAGTGAAACTTTGGCTTTATGAGTTCCAAAGAGTTCCAACTCACTGTCTAATATACCAGCCTCTTTTGCAACTTCATCTATTTTCTTCGGGTGCTGAGCTCTTGATATTTCGAAATCAGATGGAACTGGCTTTTGAAGATTTAACCTCAAAGGGTTTGTAAATTTAGGAGTCTCGTTATTCTTCGAGTAGTGCCTCTCGGCAGCAATTACAACATTTTCAAGTAAAGTAGCTACAGTCATTGGTCCCACACCACCAGGAACAGGAGTAATTAAAGAGGCTTTTTCAGATGCTGATTTGAAATCAACATCACCTACCATTCTTGATCCAGACTTCTTTGAGGAATCAGGAATAAAATTAGTGCCTACGTCAATTACAACAGCTCCTGGCTTTAACCAATTTCCTTTGACAAATTCCGGTTGACCAATTGCTGCAACAACAATATCAGCCTGAGATAAGAACAATTCAATTTGTTGTTGTGGAGTCTTAGAGTGCAATGTGGTGACAGTTGCATTGGCTTTTGTCAATAAGTTGGAGATAGGCTTCCCTACAATGTCGGATCTGCCTAAAATCACAGCATTGGCACCGGCAACTGGCACATTATATTGGGTTAATAATTCCATAATGCCTTTTGGAGTACATGGTAAAAACAAAGGTTCTCCGCCTTTTTTAGACAACTCACCCACATTAAAAGGGCCAAATCCATCCACATCTTTATCTGGCAAAACTGATGAAGTAATTTTGGCTTCATCCAAGTGTCCTGGTAATGGCAATTGGACCAAAATACCATCAACATTTAACGAATCGTTTAAATCCGCGATTGTATTCACCAACTCAATTTCAGTAATACTTTCAGGTAAGTTAATAATACGGCAATCAATAGCTGCTTCATGAGCTGCCTTTAACTTCATTCTAACATAAGTTGAAGAATCTGGTCTTTCACCCACCTGGATAATAGTCAAATTTGGCTTAAAGTCTTTATGTTTATTTTGAATGTCATCAATTTGCTTGTGGATTCTTTCACGAAGCTGCAAAGCAACTGTCTTTCCATCAATCAACTCCGCAGTCATCTTGTTTGTAGACAATGCACCTTTTCAGAAGACGAAAGAAGAGTTAGATATAAAAAGAGCCAAAAAATTTTCGTATATGAGTAGAATGGAAATTGACTCGTACCCAGATAGGAAAAAAAATTCTTCAAATTCCGAGTCTCACCACCTTCATTAAAATCGTATAAAACAAAAATATAAGCGTCACAAGGTATCAGAAGGTAATTTACTTCATAATATTTCTATATACATATATATTAGATTGAAATTCTTAAGTGTAGAATTCTTCTTTACTACTTTTTACGTCTGAAGTCTCCGTAAGCTCGTATCGAATCTAAAGAATTAATGTTTATGGTGTTAATTTTGAATTTTGAACTGAAGCCAGCTAGAGAAGATCCTGGACCAATGTTAATAATGGTATCTGTGTCATTTTTGATAAGATATTCTATTGATTTTACCCACTGAACTGGCCGTGAATTGACTGCAATAGTGTTCTGTAAGCATTCAACTGAAGGCTCTCCATATAAGTTTGAGATTATAGGTACGCAAGGTCGATTTGCAGTAGGTAGGAGAGCAGTTAATGCCGGCTCTATTTGTCTTATCATTGGACTATGGAAAGGGATACGGACAGGAAGGAAAACAGACTTAAGAACTATCTTAGATTTTTTGTTCATAGACGATACAACATTTTCTAAATCTGACCTTTTCCCAGAAAGAACAATTTGTTGATATGAATTTATATTTGCAATATAATTTCTGGCCTCATCGAGAATTCTATCAAAATTATTTGAACGGAACATTAGAGCAAGCATTCCATACTCGTCAGAAGTTATCAACTTTTCCATCAATAAGCCTCTTTCCCGGACTAACTTAACAGCTGTACCTAGATCAAGTACACCTGACAATAGAAGAGCAGTGTATTCACCCAAAGAATGCCCTAATAGGTAAGAAGCATTGTGAACTATATCAAGGTCAAATATTTTATTCATTAGTTTGCATATCACGAAACTGGTAACTAAGATGGCGGGTTGTGCGTTGGAAGTCTTCAATAGCCACTCACGATTGAAATCGGGGTTTGTGTCAAACAAATTTTCAGTAAATCTCTCGTTTAACGAAGCATCGACAGTGTCTAACGTCCGTTGTAATTTACTCCTGTACTCACTGTAGTTCGCAAGAAGTCCATTTTCGATAACCCCCTGCCCGGGAAAAGCTAAGGCATAGCTCAATTGCCTTTTATACACCGTTCTCTTTAACATTTGCTTATCGTTTCTCGAAACGAATGCCCGCACCGTGATCGTATTCTTGTAACGCCATCTCATCTCGAACTATAGATTTAAATCTCAATTCAATAACATTGAATATACACAGGATTATAAGAAATCAACGTTGAAAGTTACCTTTACTCTATGGTATTGTCATATGGGGAGCAGCTTTAAGCCGATGCCGAACAGCTCGATTAGTTGAACTAAAAGATTTTATCAGAACCTTGACTTATATTACTGAGATCGGCAGCCCAAGTTCTCGCAAAACTAGGAGGTTGTGGAACGACTCCTTTTCGAAGGAGATACAGTTTATTACCGCTAGACATGGGAAACGCTACGATAATCTTCTCTAACTGTCCTGCAATGCTGACCGGAGAGGGCCGATGACTATAACTATTTGCCCCGCAGCGTGCGTCGTAGCGACTACCGGGGGGATAACCCCGAAACATGTTCCCTGGTACATCAATTTCATCGTGGTGCTGCCGAGGGTGGTTGTTTCAGCGGGTTACCAAAGAGGCTATTGTTTTCATTCTGTCTCCCTCACTATAGCGGAGCGTGGCGGTCGCAAATTTTTAAGGATGCGAACCTTTCCACGTTAAATTGGCGAGTACCCGTCCCGCCCTCCCTGTTGTTTATTTCTTTCACTACAATTTATTCCTACGCTAGAGTCACTATAAAGGTTCAACTTAGCGAGACAATTGCAGCTATAAAAGACTGAAAGCAGTAACAACATGTCAGACCTTAAGGCAGCTAAGGATGCTCTAGTAGCATCTCTTTTTGAATTGTCAAAAGCTGCACAGGAGGCAGCAAATGCCACTGTAAACTTCTACAGAGTATCATCTCAAGAAGGTAATGCGGACTCATTAAATCATTTAGCAGTTACTTTGAATACTATAGCATCGACTGTTTCCTCCGATGGAATATTCGCTCCATTACCAAGTGCTTTAGACTCAGTTGCAGCGGTCGCCAGAGCTGCTGGAACAGGTACTGGTGCCAATTCTGCCAAAAAGGGTCCAGCAACTGCTGAAGAAAAGAAAAGGAAGAAGGCTGAAAAAGACCCTAACGCGCCCAAGAAACCATTGACCATATTTTTTGCGTTTTCATTCCATACCAGAGAGGTCATTCGTGATGAACGTAGAAAAAAGGGACTTCCGGCGCTTTCTGCTATCGAAATGAATGATGTTATCAAGGAAAGATGGAACTCAATTACTCCTGAGGAAAAATCGAAATGGCAGAAGAAGTATGCAAATGAGCTCAAAGAATATCAAAAGGTCAAAGAAGCATACAAAGCTGGCTTGACTACCACCGAGGTGAAGCCTCCAGTCGCAGCTCCTGAATCTTCTTCATCTGATGATTCCTCTGCAGAAGAAGAGAAATTGGCTCCAATTCATCAGGAAACTCCCAAAAAGTCAAAGGACTCTAAGAAAAGAAAGTCAGAGAAGTCGGAGAGAAAATCAGAGAAAAAATCTAAGAATAAAGAGTTGAATAACAAATGAATGCTCAATCACTGAAAAAAAAATGATGAACCTAAAAAAAAAAAAATGTGTTCCAATGTACAATTTCAATGAAGAAGTTGTCAAGTGTAATTTAGCTTTCACTTTTGATTAATCTATTACTTAATTTCTGTATTATTAGTATGTGTTAATATATAATGGTTAATTAGATAAATCTAATGTCCCTTCTTCTTCTGTTTGTTAATATGTGCTCTAAGAACTTTTTGTCTATCCCTCAATGATAGCTTTTGTTTTCCTTGCACTGATTTCTTGTGAATCATCATGACAAAATTTTTCTTCCTGGCTTTCTCTTTATTCGTCGTAGAATGAGGAGTATCTCTCTTTCCTCTTCTCGACCCATGTTTTTCGCGATCTTCTTTTCCTGCCTTAGCATGAGCAATCCTTTCTTCACGTTCTTGTTTATATTTGCTAGCACCTAACAAGGAATCTGAATCAACTTTGTCTTCATTTCTTTGAGTACCTGACATGAGTTTTTCAACCCCAGCTTGTGCCTTAAGCTCTTCCAACTTCGCAAAATCTGCAGGTGTCAAAATACGGCTAGACAAGAGTTCTATCATAGCTCGCTCCATATCAGCAGAATCTTTCGAAGAGGAGATCTTACGTTTCTTGGACTTTTGTTCAGTTCCACTTTTGGTTTCAATATTTTCTTCATCATTATCTTCTTCTTCTTCTTCTTCTTCTTCTTCTTCCTCGTCTTTTTCTTCCTCTTCACCCTGTTCAGAATTTAAGACCTCATTCTCTTCTGCATCTGAATCACTGATATCATATTCCTTATCAGACTCAACTGTGACCCAGTCACCTTCAGAATTGTCAGAATCATTAGATTGGTCAACCTCCCACTCGTCAGAATTTCCTTCAGCATCTTCTCCATGTTCTATCTTCCACTTAGCTAATAATTCGATTCCTGGAATAGACGTTACGACTGAGCTTTGAACACCGAATTTAGGAAGTCCTTTCTTTTCACCACTTTGTAATTCCATGCTAGCTACCTTACCTCTATCCTTCTTAAGTAGAAGTTCTGGTGCAACCTCTCTATATAAAGCGATCAAAGATCTCGCAGCCATCATCACAGGCTTTGACTTAGAGCCCTTATACTCAGTCAAGTCTTGCAATAAAGGTGCTTCAATTGCCAAAGGGGCTCTAGCTAAAATTTCTCTGATTGTATTTATACCAGCAGCAGCAACTTCAGCAGCGACACCTTCGCTAACAAATTCATCAGCAATTTTGCGAACAACTGCTGACACTGATTCAGGTGGTACTAAATCATGAGATGCCTGTGCGGCTGCAGCCATAATTTGAGTTACATTTCTTTGCTTTGGTGTTAAATACTTCAAGAAAAAAGAATAAATTCCCAAGATCGTTAACTTGTGGGTACCTATTAATCTTGAAATCAAGTTCATCAACATTATTTTCTGGTCCAAATTAAACTTATTACCGTTCTTAGCAGCTAATTGTTTATCATATAGCTGCTCTGCAAATGTTTGAGGGTCTCTCAACAAATGTATAGCTGAAAAATTCAAATAAGCTGCAGAATGCTTTGCACTATTTTTCTTTTTTATTGTCTTTACGGCTTGCTCTAACTTCTTACTTCTCTTGGAGCTTTTCTTGTTAATTTGCATTTTATGTTTTAATGCTCCCATGTCAAATCCATTTTCATCATCAGACTCATCATCAAAGTTTTCTTCTCTCTCCTGGTCTGCACCTAAGAAAAATCTAACACCAGCAACTGAGACTTTTATTTCTGGATGTAATGCAGCCTGTGTCATTAACTCGACTGTTCTTGAGTCGTCCCAGATTCCCCTTTTCCACAACTCTCTAGTAAGTTTGGTAGCCCAAAGACCCTGAGAGTCCCTTTGCTCTAGTAAATTAAAAAGCAAAGCCTGAGTCGAGCGGTTCAACTTTTGGTTTTTGGCTCCTGTATTGACAGATTTCAACAATGATATCAATGTGCTATAGATTTGCTGTCTTAATGCTTTAACATGTTGTCCATTACTTGCAACTCCCTTACTATATGTAGTCAATATTGGAAATATAGTTTGAATTAAAGATTCTGAACTGATAATGCCTTTGTTTCTTAACATGGTTAAGCACAGGATGATCTTCTCCCTTAGTTCGGGTGATAAATCTCTATGATTATTTATTAAAATGCTCTTGAGCTCTTCCGGAAAAGTTGCTGTTTCTTTAGGATAGCAGTTACAAACAGCAGTAATGAAACCAATTAACTCGGCAAAAGAAGCACCATTTGTGCCTGAGGGGTTTAAAAGATAAATATCTCTTAACGATTCATAATGCGAATATTGCTGAAGAAATTCATCATAGTAAGATTCAGGGTCTCGACGGACCACATTCTGCAAAAGAATGATATTAGTCGGTAGAATAGCTGCTCTTCTTTGCTTTCCCATCCTTCAAAATTTTCCTTGATATTTGTTGAACAAGATGCTGCTGGTAAAATTGTCAATTCAGGTGTTTAAATTTTCATACCCATCTCTTCCTAAAAAAAAAAAAAAATTACTCACATACAGGAAAACATAAATATACGTTAATTGTCATTAGAATAGAATATATAAGTTGCATTGATACATTTTTAAGCACTGGATTGACCGACTTTTGAAGTATCATGAAAGAGCTCCCCTAATGTGGCATAATTGATTTTTTTTGAAAAAGGCTTTTTGGAGAGCATGATCTTAGCACTATCAGCAGCAGTCAAAGGCTCTCCGGTACTTTCGTCAACACCGATGTTTGCTAAAGCACTGTTAAGTCCTATTTCGTTCGCAAGGTCTCCACCGAGGTCGACTACACTTGACAATCCATCATTCTTTGTTGTTCGTCTCTTCTTACGAGTTGTACCCGATGTATTTCCTGTCAATTCGTCAGCCTCTTTTTTTAACCTCTTCTTCTCCTGAGCAATCAAGAAGTCGTGGTTTAATCCCGTCCATAATCTCTCCTTGAGCTTGTATTCTTCCGAGGATAGTTTAAATTCCTCCAATTCTTCATCATCGAGATCGTCAAAATTATTAGGGTCAGACGAAATCTTATTTAATAAGTCTTGAGTTTTTGGTAAGTTTTTAACCAAGTTTCGCGGTCTATCCATATCTATTTTGTCCAAAGAGTTAGTGATATTCTTAATTTCCGATGGCGTCAAATACATTGAGCTCTCTAAACTCTTCCTTTGATTCTGTATTATGCGAGACAACAGTTCAGATATTTCTTTCTCGGACAAATCACAGTCCTTTAATATTGATCGCAAAAGCTTATCTTTTCTTTGCTGTTGGCGCAATACCCTTGCCTCTTCTGAATTGTCTTCATCAGTCGCTAGGGTAGGCTCTCTGATATGCTGTAAACTGTGCTCTTTATTTTTAAGCTGTTGTGCTAGCTTTTGCTCAAGTTCACGATTTTTGTCAAAAGAAGGTGGATTAGAAGTTTCGGTCCTCAAAGATTCCCTGAAAGATTGAACGGAGAGTGCTCCAGACTTCGTTTTTTTAAACTCGTTTAATCTTCTTTGTAAGGTCTCCTCAGCTACATGAGCAACTGCAACAATCTCTGCGTGGCTTCTCCTTATATTGTTCATTCTTGCTGCCAAAAGAACACACGCTCCCGCTACACCAGCGGGGCGCCTTCCTTCATGTATCCAGTCGTTGGCCATTCTTTGAGCTAACTTCACTGCATCCTTAATGACTTTTCCATTATGTTCTTTAAAATCAAGCTTCTCCGCAAAATGCTGGATGAATAATGAAGGATCTGCCAAGGGTAAAGACGTTATATGTAAAGTCTTGACCATCTTCAAGAATGTGGCCCCAAGAGAATAAACTGAAATCTGCAATCTTGAACTAAAATCGATCAACATATGATGAGTCTTCTCCTTTCTACAAGCAACATACAAGCAAGATGCCAAGACATTCTGGGACCTTCTTCCTTGCACGAAGTTGTTCGTTAGGGCTAGCTTGAACCATTCGATAGCAGAATCCGAAATATATTCCGGGATCTTCAATGCTGCTGCAATTCTCTTTATTTTTCTTTTTCCATTCTCAAATGTTTGTTCTCTACTCTCCATAGCATTATGTCTATTACTGAAAGTTGCCCTAGATTGATCAGCTCCAACCATAGCACCTTGAACCATGGCGGCGCCCGTGCTTGATTCTGCAAATTGCACTTCGCTCACAATAGGATTCTCAACTTGAACTGTGCCACATCTTGAACAAGCAACCTCTGAAGCCGCAGAAGTGAACTTATCTACGGTGAGGTTCGTATGGCCACAGTTCTTGCAAGAATTAGGATTTCCTGTTCTCATCTCTTTATTTTTAATCCTCTTTGCCTTATTTATTATCAATAGTTAGTTGTGTAAAATATTATTTTGATTATTCGTATTTAATGATACTGCACGACCACGAAGGGGATTCAAAAATCACTTTAGATCAACGCCCTGATTTACGATAATACTTTAAGACTTTGAAAGATGCAAACTGGGTCTGGAGATGATTCTCATGATTTGGTACTCCCTACAAATCTGAGGTGTGAAAGTTCAAGCAGCCAACTCAGTAAGAGACACCAACTCAGTAAGAGAAACTTGGAAACCAGATATGAAACTGAAGAACCTCACTTAGATACGACTTTTCCGTATTCATTGACATTGAAAGTGCAAACGTCAGAACCAAGAGATATTTTGCAGCTGGAGAGAACTTGCTTATCATTCATTAGATTCACCACTGCTTTATTTTTCACAGCATTAGGAATAATATTAAATTTCAAGATAGATTCTTCTAACGACGGTGGTGGCTCCCATAAGCTGCACCACTCCTATTCAGCGGCCATCTCCTTTCTGGTATTGATTTTGGCAGCTGTGTTGTTGATAGTCAGCTTACTCAATTATCTTACTTCTGTCGACAGGTACGCAACAGGCAAGATTAAGACTTACAGGTTTAATAATCTACATACAGTGATCATCATGACCGGTGTAGTATTGGCAGTAACATCTATATGCATAATACTGATTATAGAAGAATATATCAGCTCTTTTTGAATGGGAAGAAGCTATTAGGATCTTGATTTTTTTGATGCTTGACTTTCATCACGCTTTGCGTTCTTCCTTTTATTAATTTTCCTTTTTTCCCCAAAGTTTTCCTTATCCATTTCCATTATAGATTCCCTTTTAGCAATACTAGCTGCACTTAATGACTCTTTTATGACCTTATTATCATCAATCTCTTCTAATAGATCCATTTTCTTGTTAATCCTTTCCTCTATCGACTGGATTCTATCAATGTCCTTCTCAGCAACAATAGAAATCGAATCTCCTTTTCTACCAGCCCTTGCGGTTCTTCCAACTCGATGTATAAAATCATCAGGATCGGCAGGTATGTCATAATTAATAACTAATTGAACGGTTGGGATATCGAGACCTCTTGACGCAACATCTGTTGCAACTAATATTCTAGCAGCCCCTGCCTTAAACCTATGTAAGGAATTTACTCTCTCCGTCTGAGGCATCTCTGAGTGTAATGAAGCAACACGGAACTCTAATTTTCTAAGAGTTCTCCTCAAAAATTCAGCGGTATGTGTCCTATTTACGAATACAATGGCAGTTACTTTCTTGAACTCTTCCATCATTAGGATGCCATATAAATATGCTTCTTTAACATAGGAAGGGACGAAAACATAACTTAAATGTAAGGTGGTCGGTATAGCAACGTTATCAATGGATTCAACTTCATGGATGAAAACTGGAAGTTTTCCTTTAGGTTTAGGCTTGTCTTTCAAAGCTCTTACAGCATCAGTTACAGTGGCTGTAAATAAGAGAGTCTGCCTTTTTTCAGAGGGAGGTAAGACGCTAAAGCATTTCTCTAAATCGCTTCCAAAACTGTTACTAAGTAATCTATCAGCTTCGTCTAAGACCAAATATTTTATTCTTCGTAATCCACAAATAGTATCCTCTCCGCTATTTAATATATGATCTGCTAATCTACCTGGAGTGGAAATCACAAAATGAGGCTTTCTTTGTAGATTGAGAGCTTGCTGTACAATATCTTCGCCTCCAACTATAACACAAATCTTTATATTCATCGAAGCACCTAATGCAGCAAATTGCTCAGCTATTTGAAGAGCTAATTCCCTTGTCGGGGTTAAAATCAATCCAAATATTCCATATGGATCTTCGGACCATTTAGTTAACATTGGCAGGGCAAATGCAATGGTCTTACCACTACCAGTTTTAGCACCTCCTATGCAATCATGTCCATGTAAAATTTTTGGAATACAAGCAGCCTGAATCGAGGTTGGCTTGTAAATTTTCATGGAATTTAGTGCTTCACAAAGCCATTTTGAAACGCCTAACTCTTCAAATGACATCCTTGTCTTCTGCCAGCTCTCTTATTGATTAAACATCATCGCATCTCATCTCTTTTGAAAAAACCTCTAATCATGTGATCTGAATATCAATTTAAAGGCTGAAGATGTATCTACGATTCTCAATTAGAAGGCAAAGAAACTTGATGTCACTTTTAATTTGTCTGAAATGTACTAAAGTATCCCAGAGACTTCTATCTTATTCACTAAGTTATAGAAGTAGTGCGAATGGAAGAGAGCAATGTTTAGATTCTTCTGATAGAGTGGACGAACTTGTGGAGCCCGAGACATCTTATACCATAAGTTCGAGAGAAGAAAGTCAACAGGAGGTAAATGCGACAGAGCACTTAGGAGGGTTAAAGTACAGTTCTAGAAATGAGGATAACTTGAATTATAGCATTAAAAGATTTTCTCTTAGCGACTATTTTATGGGAAATCAGCACCATACACTAAATGTTTTACGAGGCTTCAATAAGCAAAAGAATAAGGATCAGAGAACCTTTGTTGACCTTAAGCTAATAAGAGTGAAATCTGGAAATGGAGGAAATGGTGCAGTTTCATTTTTCAGAGATGCATTTAGGCCCGTTGGCCCACCTGATGGAGGCGATGGTGGTAATGGTGGTGATATATATTTACAGGCAATAGAGAATATAACGTCATTGCACAAAATAAAACGTTCTTATCAAGCACGAGATGGAAAATCAGGGGTTGGTCTGCAATTGGATGGGAAAAAAGGCGAAGATGTCATTATTGAAATACCAGTAGGGACTACGGTACGATGGATACCGGATCCTTTAGAATTGAAGTCCTTTTTAAATAGCTCCTCTGGTAACCCTAGTAACATTGATTTGGATATAAAAACAAGAGATGATGATGTTCAGATGTTTCGGCAGAGCTACAGTGCTGGAGAAGGATGGATTTTTAAAGAAAGAGATGAAGAATATCACAGAGAAAAGCAGTTCTTTATTGATTTGAATGAGCAGGTAAAAGAATATGACCAAGAAATAATAGATGAAGAACTTTTTTGGGATCGTTTTCCTCTCTTGGGCGTAGACTTCGAGGAATCAACAAAAGAACCCTTTATGCTTTTGAAAGGTGGAAAAGGAGGAATGGGGAATATGCATTTTTTAACTAAGGATATCCGAAATCCAAGGTTTAGTAAGAAAGGTAGAGATGGTCTAACAGAGTTTTTTTTACTAGAGTTGAAACTTATTGCTGATTTAGGACTTGTTGGGTTACCAAATGCCGGAAAGTCCACACTACTTCAAGCAATTTCAAGAGCACATCCCAGAATTGGTCACTGGGAGTTTACAACCCTTCAGCCTACAGTGGGAACTATATTTACTTCGATAGATAAGGATCCATTCACGGTTGCCGACATACCAGGGATTATCAAAGGTGCATCTCAAAACAAAGGAATGGGCTTAGATTTCCTCAGACATGTCGAGCGTTCTGGAGGTCTTGTTTTCGTTGTATCTTTACATAGCACTGATCCCGTTTCAGATGTCCAGACATTATTACAGGAAGTTGGACCCAAAAGAATGCAAAATAAGAGAGTTTTAGTCGTCGCGACTAAAGCTGATTTGAATGACACGGGGGCAAACTACTCAAAACTCAAAGAGTTTGCCGACGATAGAAATTGGCTAATTGTACCGGTATGTGCTCCTCAAGGACACAACATTGATCAATGTATAAATCTAATGAGCTCCATCGCTGGTAAATCTGAGCACTGAAGCGTTTCAAACCGGTTCTGAAAATTGTGCATTCTCACCGTTGATGCAGTCTAGTGAAAGCTCGAAGTCTTTTGTCACGTTGAGCCGCATGAGATCTCGATGTCAAAAGGTCAGATCTAGTGCATACAAATCCTATAGCGTTCGTTTTCTTGTATATAGTCTTTTAAGCATAAGTACCTGGCAGATATCCTAATTATTGCTCAAAACGTATTTCTGAGTAAAGCAGTTTCACTATCGAGAATTTGGCATTCTGGAATGGTGTACGAAAGTTTAGAGTCAATTTAAGCGTCGTCATACGCGGTGCTTCAACGCTCGATACCTCGACACTTGATATTCGACAGGGAGCTTCGCTTTATAACGTACCATTCTTACTTCATGCTCTTACTCTCTTGACTACATTCGATGCCATCTTACGATAGCCAGAGCTATATACCGGGATCAGTCGGCTCATCGCGTGTTCCGCTACCGTCCCGCGCATGGGCAACGTACCGTGAGCGCGTCGTCATATGAATTCTTTTTTCGTTCTGGAATTGTTTTTGGATCTGATCTCAAAAATTTTGAGCTAGGAAGATAACTTTCATCATGGCGACCAATTGCAAATCTTCTGTTTTCAAACGAAATGTTAAGTTAGAGATCAGTTCTGAAGCAAGCAACAGTAAGTACATTCTACGGAATTCAACAGAATTTGTCTGCCACCCCGCTTCGTAAAACACTTCTCTGCCCCCCGTAGCCGCCTTTAACCGCTAGCATCCAACCCCTCAATAACATAATAAAAGTGATGGGAGGTCGCCCGCCTTCGTTGTTCATTTCACTAACTTTTACGCCCGCCCAGCATTTCGGATGTAATATTCGCCCGTTAACGTTCACCGGCAATAAATTGTCTACCGGTGCGCACTGTACTGGAAACAGGCAGCAAACAAAGTCGATCCCGCCCTGAGGCAGCCAGATATTTCTGCATTCTCTCTATCGTATGCAGTGCATATTTTTCTAGCCAATTTGAAAATCTGGACTCTTCGTGCATTTCCTGTTATTGTAGACCATTTTAGTATTTAATAACTGCAAATCCTTCTAGGCAATAATATGACTTCCTCAATAAAAGGCAAAAGCTAATAAACTAATGCAAAATTATGTTTAATTCATACCTTAGGACTCCACCATTTGAGGCCAGTGAGTTTAATGAGAGTAGAGATTACTTTTCCTCCAAGCCTAAATTGTCGGAGCCACTTTACAACTTGTCAACATCATCATCATCATGTTCATTAGGATCTAGCGGCGATAGTGCTGAAGAAAGAGAGGCACCGCAAATGATATCGCCAGTAGAAAAAGATGACAATGTCAGAACAAATCCTAATGATTATAAATTTTTGGTTCTCGATGATAACTACATAAATTTGAAAATATTGTCACGCATGTTAAGCAAATTATATCCGAATGCAGTTATTGACACTCTTCAAGATTCAAGAGAAGCTTTGGATAAAATTTCTAGCGTGAAGTACGATGTCGTTTTTTTGGACATAGAGATGCCACATGTAAGTGGCACTGAGCTTGCAAGTACTATTAGGAACATAGAAGATCACAAGCGCTTAGGTCTTATAGCAGTAACAACAAGATATATGAGGGAAAGTTTATTACTATACGAAAGACTCGGGATAGACTTTACTTTCTCTAAACCGTTAAACTATAGCTATGAGTATATATCTGGAAACATTGAGCTAGTCATGGAATACCGAATGGGTCTAGAGAAAAAGAATTAGCAAAGTATGTCCTCCTTCGACATCATTAAGATTAGGCAATTATTGCCTTGCATTTGGCATCATCACATTTATCATTTTGTATTATAATAAGGTTAGTTATCTACTCGGTGGGTTTTTTACATACGACTTACGTATCAGGTTATGAAATAATAATTTTAGGGAGAGAACTTTTGAAGCATAATTGTAACATGTAAATAATATTGGCTAGAAGTAATTACAATCAATTGTGACAATCAAATCTACAATTGAATTCAATCAACTTTTTCCATATCAAAAGATAACTTTATAGTTGAACAACCTGTCAAGGTTAATCTTTAGATGGAGAGTTCGATATTTGTCACTTTTTACGGAGTCGCCACCTTGCTCCAGTCTGTTCTGTTCCTGCAAACCCGTTAATCTTTTGGTACCTGCCGGTCTTCCCTACGTGGCGCGTGATTTGCAAACTAATTTGGAAAAATTATTTATCCCCAACGCATCTTATCAGGCACAAACAGGCATCTTCTAGAGCTATAAGGGTGTGCGTCATGATCCAGCATGCTACAAAATAATAGCATCTTCTTTACGAGGGCATTTATGAGAAGTTTTGGGGTGAATTGGGATCGTAAAGCACTAGATACTCATCAAACGGCAAAATCGGCTTGTTGTCTGGCTATGAGCATATTAAAAAATACCCAGATTATCCATAAGCGTACATAAAGAATTGTCACATAATTCACGTAGCAAAGACTATAAGTCAGTGCGCCTTATATTGGATGAATTAGCTAGTTATGGCTATTAGCTTGGTCTTTTGGATGGACGGGTCTCTTGGTTAAACTATTTACAGATTCAGTCATTTAATGCGCGCCTTACTCTCTCGTAATATATATTAATAATCCAATGGAGATCTATCGATTAATTCATGATTGAGCGTCCTCTTTTCTATTACCTTACATCAATAAAAGCAATTTACTTCACCTCTTCAATTTCTCTCTTCTCTAGTTCTATGGGCTCAAAGCTTTCTCTGAGATGTCAGAATTCATAGAGAGCATTATTTAGAATTCTAAAGATATGCTACTTCTTTCTTTAACTAACCGTAACTCACAATTAATTGATCCAACTGTCTATTGCAGTATTGAAGAGGAACTCCTATTAGTAATAAAGACTGCAAATATTATGTCTTTTAAATCATTGTGAACTATAAATAGCATGATTACCAATGAAATAATGGTTTGAGAATAATCTCTAATTGATTCTATCCAGATACTTGACTAAGTTACCTCATATTTAATATATACGGTTATAAAGTTCAATCTAGATAAAAGAAGTAGCAAGAAATGCATTATTTCTTAATAAAAACCCATTGTCTAGCTAGCTGGAAAACTTGACAGAATATAGATTTTGTTGCAAAAATTAGTATAAATATTCTATTTAGTAAAATTTATTTGAAGAAATAGAATAAAAACACAACATTACTCGGCAGTAACGATGTTACTGTTCATGTACTTACATCTATGGTAACTTTCAGCTATCAACAGGGGGTTCAAAAACTTACTGAATATTTTCTGCTCTTAAAGCGCAACAGCTCTCAAACCGGGGCCTGTTCCGTAATTTTTTTTCTTAGATACCCTTTATTTTTTTTTTACAGCCATTATATTACTACGGAAAGAGAGGACCTCAATGAACTTAGAACTTTCAAAAATATTACAACATGGGAGCAATAAGTAAGAGTACTTGATAATGTTATCGAATAATGATCAAAGTGTTGACTAACAAAAGTAGAGGATAAAAATTCCAAACCAGCGTATAGACCATACGAGACGAGTACACCGTTAAGACAATTTAGACCTTTAAAGTCAAACTTCTCCAGCCCAATTTCAGTAGATTCACCTGCTAGTTTGTCTATGACATCTGTTTCCTCGGTGGGAACAAGCATGAGTCCAACTCGATTGATTGGTTTACGTAAAAAGGAACGCCAACTCGACCTCCAGATTCGTAAGATGGAGAAAAGGAAGGATCTTATTGTCAAAGCTCTTAAATACAAACGAGGAAAAGAATCAGACAAAATCGAACAGCTAATTCAAAAGTGGAGGACTGCAAGTCAAATGGCATCAAGTTATTTGCTAAACTCATTCCATTTGAAGATTTCAGCCATGGGGGGAATTAGCGAATGGAGAAAGTCAATCAAGAGGAAGGATAAAGAAAAAAATAGGTATCAGCTGGAAGAAAGATTAGAATGGCTTGAAAAATTGTTGAATAGCGACCAATTTTCAGATCTTTCAAGTATCGAACAACAAGAAATACAAGACCAAATTCAAGATTTAACAGCAGCAAATGAAGATGATGAATGGGAAGCAAATGATGAGGATTATGAGTTTACTATGGAAGAAATGTTGAAGTACTTAAAGTTAGATTACAATTTGTTGTATGGGTCGTAATGGTTCATTAAATATTTTTGTTAGTTTTAAACTCGTCTGGGTTATTTCTCGCGTCAAAATATGTTCACTAACCAGATTTGGAATAGTAATTGAACTTTAGTGTCATGCACATAATGGGTCTCACGATGAATGGCTTACTAAATATTCATAAGTTATATAGTACTTGATATGTTAAATAGCTAACTGTTATCTGATCAATATCATAGTTTTATGTATAATGACGAGATGTCGAGTTTCAAGCGACACCGCAAAGGGGTCCAGTTCCAATTTCGATAAAGAAAAGTTAATTGCATTTTTGAACAGACTATCATATTCTTTAGATTCTAGATTTATCATAATAAATGAAATAGTTGATACAGTTGAGCTAGGACTTCCGGAGAAGGTCAGCGTGAGCCAGCTTTTTGACTTAACTGCTGAGGTGATTGCCTCAAAAGTCATTTATCATCCTGATTTTGCCACTTTGGCGGGTCGAGTAGAAGCTGCCAGATTACAGAAAAAAATACGATTAAGTTTTAGCAAAAATGTGGAAAGGTTACATAATAACAGTTTTGAAGGTGGAAATAGAGGGAAAACACCTATTTCGGATTCATTCTACGAAACAGTCATGAAAAATCGTGATTTTCTCGACAAAATTATAGTAAGTGATCGTGATTTCGAGTTGTCTTACTTTGGGATAAAGACTCTTCAAAAATCTTATTTGTTACGACTAGGGGAAGAAGTGGCAGAAACTCCTCAATACATGTTTTTGAGAGTTGCAGTGGGTATTCATTGTGACAACCTAAATGACATTGTGGAAACATATGATCTTATGTCTAAAAAGTACTTTATTCATGCTTCACCAACATTGTATAACTCAGGCACAGTAAAGAACTATTTATCATCTTGTTTTTTGGTAGCAATGGACGATGATTCAATAGATGGTATTTATAAAACATTGCACAAAGTTGCATTGATATCAAAGGCATCGGGTGGAGTTGGTTTACATGTTTCCAACATTAGAGCAAGTGGGTCACATATATCATCTTCGAATGGAATATCAAGTGGACTAGTTCCAATGCTCAGAGTGTTCAACAATACTGCCAAGTACGTAGATCAAGGCGGTAATAAAAGACCAGGGGCATTTGCCATATATTTGGAACCGTGGCATGGGGACATTTTTGAATTTTTGAACTTAAAAAAGAATCATGGGAAAGAAGAAATGAGAGCGAGAGATCTCTTCTATGGATTATGGATACCCGATCTTTTCATGAAACGAGTGAAGAACAATAGTACGTGGTCATTGTTTTCTCCGGATGTTGCTCCCAATTTAGCTGATAATTATGGAAAAGACTTTGATGATTTGTATGAAAAGTATGAGAAAGAAGGTTTGGCTATGAGGACTGTGAGTGCCCAAAAATTGTGGCTTGCTATTTTAGAGGCACAGATTGAAACAGGCGTACCTTACATCTTATTCAAAGATTCTTGTAATATTAAATCTAATCAAAAAAATTTAGGAACGATAAAATCCTCCAACTTGTGCTGTGAAATTGTTCAATATTCGTCACCGGAAGAGACCGCCGTTTGTAACTTGGGTTCATTGGCATTGCCGAGTTTTGTGGAATGCAATAAAGAAGAAAATGTTTCGACTTTTAATTTTGAAAAGTTGCATTCAGTGACAAAAGTTTTGACAAAAAATTTAGATAAAATCATAGATGTAACGAGATATCCGGTGGAAAGTACTGAGAAATCCAATAAACGAAATCGGCCCATTGCAATTGGAGTTCAAGGTCTAGCTGATTTGTTTTTGCAGCTTCGTCTTCCGTTTGATAGTCAAATGGCTCGAAAATTGAACATTCAGATATTTGAGACTATCTACCATGCATCAGTTGAGGCATCAATGGAACTTGCGCAGAAATATGGCCCTTATGAGACATTTCAAGGATCCCCCGCTTCCGAGGGTAGCTTACAATTCGATTTATGGAGCCATAAACCATCAAATCTTTTCGGTGATTGGGACGCGTTGAAGGCATCAGTGAAGAGATTTGGTATTCGAAACTCGTTGTTAGTAGGACCCATGCCGACTGCCTCTACTTCTCAAATATTGGGTTTTAATGAATGCTTCGAGCCATATACATCAAATATCTATAATAGGAGAGTTTTATCGGGAGAGTATCAAGTGGTTAATAAATATTTGTTAAATGACTTAATTGACTTAGGGCTTTGGAATTCTGCTATGAGGAATCGTTTGATCTTAGAAAATGGCTCGATTCAAAACATTCCTAGTATTCCTGAGGAGTTAAAAGCCTTGTACAAGACAGTATGGGAAATCAGCCAGAAGACTATTATAGACATGGCCTCCGAAAGGGGAAAGTTTATCGACCAATCTCAGAGTATGAACATTTTCTTGCAGAATCCAACTCTTGGTAAATTAACGAGTGCGCATTTTTATTCTTGGGAGAAAGGTTTGAAGACTGGAATGTATTATTTAAGGACTCAAGCAGCTTCGAAGGCTATTCAATTCACAGTTGACTTTGATGAAGCCAAAAAAGTTGATGCAGAAGTTGCTCCAGAGTTTACTTTAAAAAGAAATAGATATGTGGAAAAAGATGATTATGAAACTGATAAAGACGAGTTTGCAGCGTCCACTAAAAAGGTTAAGAGAAATGCTCCGTCTTGTCCGACGCCGGTTTCTCTGTCAAATTCGCCTTTTGAAAGCCCAAATCCTATAAAAAAAATTGACATTTACGATAATAAGCTCTTGTGCGTCATGAAGTCGGATATTGAAAATAATTGTGACTCTTGCTCTGGCTAGTTCTCGCAATTGCTCTATAATTTATCTTGTATATATACATATATTTCTCTGTACTTAGTTAAAAATCATTATTTAAGAATTTCTTGTCCTTTGTAGATTTCTATTAGCAAAGTCAGCTACTTGTTCAATGCCTTCTTTAGTTACAAAAAACTTTTTTTTATTCTTATCAGACCAAATGAGGACGCCAACTTCTGACGCATAATTGGATAAGACTTCATACTCTTTCTGATTTGAGAAATCCTTAAATAAGTAGCCATCAAATGTTTGTATTCTATCCATTTCTAGCTGCCATAATTTAATTTGGTCAACAACTGTCGGAGGCAAAATTTCCAACTTATGCTGAGCTATAGAGCTATTGCTGACTTGTGATTGTGAACCACCTCCTGCTGTATTAATGTTATTGCTAGTGTCAAATTCTATCTTTTTATCTAGTTTTTCTTTCGCATATAACTTCATTTGAGGATGTGCGTGACTTTCAAGAAACCTGATTATCTGGTCAGCTGTTATCCCATTGTATAAAGCGTGCCTAATAGATTCCCTAGTTATTTGTCCACAAACCATGTTCGCAAATCTTGTTCTTAGGTGAACAAATAGGTTAAGAATTGCGATCTCCAAAGGAGAAGTTGAATATGCATACAATTTAAAATTTGTTTCGATGATGATAGACCCCTGATTAGGCGAGGCATAGGTCACCACTTCCTCCTGATTCTCTGCTGCCTCCAGCGCTTGATCAACAACAAGCGACAGAGATTTTAAAGTTGTGGAATCTGACGTTAATGTTGTTGCTAGCCTTGTGGGATAAAATTGACCAGACGAATTTGATCCTTGGTAAACTAAACCATACTCCTTCAAATCGTCCAACATGCTCACTTGTGTCTCGCTTAAACTTGCTATTTTATAACTCTTACCCAATTCTAAAGATCCTAGAATAAATATGAAATTCAAAACATCTACAGGATCCATGTTTAAATCCTGAGTCAAATTTAAGTATTGTAAAAGTAATGTCCATATTTGAGAATTAAGGTCTTGTAGTAAGAACTGAAACCCAGTATTTGTAATCTTCAAATTTTTGGCACCCGATCCAGACTTTTCCATTAATCCTCCCAGCTTCAATAACTTCAAAACTGAATTCGTCGGAGTCACTTTCAAATCAGTCCCCACCATGAAATGAAGAATCGTTTCCCATTTCTGTGATGCAAAAGAATCTAAGAAAATTACGTCAACCTTTTCTGTATCACCAGTGGTACATAGGTCTCCAAATGCATTCGGTTTCTGCGTTCCAGTTAAGCAATCTCGGAAGTTTTTCCTGAACGTGGAATGAAGTCTTACGTGAGAGCCTCCTTTGTCCTCTTCGATCAAATGTAAAGACTTTAACCTTTTTAGAGATTCAAGCTGCAGTCTTTTAGCCATAGGCTTACACCACTTGTCTAAATCTTTAAGTGCTACCGGCTTTTCATAAAATATCATCGACATGATGTAAAATTTGGCAATAGGCGGTAGCAATCGGTATATGGAAAGGCATGTCGCTGGAGCCTCATATAACTGAGATTGAACTACTTGTGGCAAACCCTCTAAATATTCATCGACGCTTGCTTTGAATAGGCCCTCAGAAGACATATCTTCAAACAAATGCCTGCCCTTACCTGCTTTTAGTTCACGTTGTCTTATCTGATACTTTTTTTTTTTTAATATGAGGTTCTAAACGTAGTATTATGTAATGAAATTTTTTATAATTAAATTTGAAGTTTGCAAAGAAGACTTATAAATCAAGAGTTTAGGCAGCCGAGAAGTTATATTTATTGAAATGGCGGTGAAGCGTAAGGCTTACGACCTAAAGCAAGATGATATGGAAAGGGATGAAGCATTTCAAGAGTTGCTTCAGCCTGAATACAAGGGAAAAAAATTGACTGATGAGATCAGCATGGCAGAGGATAAGTGGAATTTATTACCTGCATTTTTGAAGGTTAAAGGGTTAGTAAAACAGCATTTGGACTCTTTCAACTATTTTGTTGATGTTGACTTAAAGAAAATAGTCAAAGCTAACGAGCTTGTGCTTTCTGATGTTGATCCTGAATTTTATCTAAAATACTTATCCATCAGGGTTGGCCACAAATCGACCTCGTCAGCAGGAACGAAAGAGGTCTTGCTAGCGCCTCATGAGTGTAGGCTTCGTGATTTAACGTATTCAGCTCCAATTTATGTTGATGTTGAGTATACGAGAGGGAGAAAGATTATCATGCATAAGGATTTGGAAATTGGAAGAATGCCTATAATGTTGAGATCCAATAAATGTATCCTTGATGGTATAGATGATTCACAAATGGCAGCATATGAGGAGTGCCCTTTAGATCCAGGTGGTTATTTCATTGTTAATGGAACTGAAAAAGTGATTTTAGTGCAAGAGCAGTTGTCTAAAAATAGGATCATTGTGGAAGCCGATGAGAAAAAGAACTTGGTTCAGGCCTCCGTTACATCTTCTACGCATGAAAGAAAATCAAAAACGTATGTGATTACAAAAAATGGTAAAATATACTTGAAGCATAATTCTATTGGGGAAGATATCCCAATTGTTATAGTTTTGAAGGCTGCCGGAGTAACATCAGATTTAGAAATTTTGCAAATTATTTGTGGACATGATCCTCATTATCAAGATCTTTTCGTTGTTAATTTGGAGGAGGCTGCGAAGTTGGATATATTCACCCAACAGCAGGCATTGAACTACATTGGAAAGAGAGTTAAGACTATCAGAAAAGCAGGTACTCCTAAACTTTCTCAATTTCAAGAAGGTATCGAGGCAGTTGCAACAACAATTATAGCACATATCACTGTTTCTGATTTGCAATTTCGTGAGAAAGCTTTATACATAGCGACGATGGCAAGAAGGGTTCTAATGACCATGCATAATCCAAAAATGGTCGATGATAGAGACTACGTTGGTAACAAAAGGTTAGAGTTAGGTGGCCAGTTGATGTCATTGTTGTTTGAGGATCTATTCAAAAAGTTCAATTCTGACTTTAAAGCTAATATTGACAAGATTTTGAAGAAGCCAAGCCGTACCTCAGAATTTGATGCGCTACTTTCTATTAACATCCATTCTAATAATATTACTATGGGGATGAACCGTGCCATTTCAACAGGTAACTGGTCTCTTAAACGTTTTAAGATGGAAAGAGCAGGAGTGACACACGTGCTATCAAGATTATCATATATATCTGCATTAGGGATGATGACTCGTATATCTTCACAGTTCGAGAAATCAAGAAAAGTCTCGGGACCCAGAGCATTGCAGCCATCTCAATTTGGTATGCTTTGTACATCAGACACACCCGAGGGAGAAGCTTGTGGGTTAGTCAAGAATTTGGCACTCATGACTCATATAACTACCGATGATGAGGAGTTGCCAGTTAAAAATCTATGCTATGTATTAGGTTGTGAAGATATTTTAGCACTCGATTCAGCAAGCTTGTACATGGAGGGAAATTATGGTATATTTCTTAACGGTACCTTAATTGGAACTTCAAAATTCCCAGCTAAGTTTGTTGCAAACTTTCGGTCCTTGAGAAGAAGCGGTAAAATCTCCTCGTTTGTGTCAATCTATACTAATCTTCATCAAATGGCTGTTCATATTGCGACTGATGGGGGAAGGGTTTGCAGGCCCTTAATTATTGTCGGTGATGACAATGTTCCAAAGGTGACAACCTCTCATTTAAAACATCTCCTAGATGGGAAGTGGTCGTTTGATGATTTCTTGAAGAGAGGATTGGTGGAATATTTGGATGTGAACGAGGAGAACGACTCCTTAATAGCATTATATGTCGAAGATTTGAAAAGTGAAACCTTGCAAAATTACACACATTTAGAAATTGAACCATTCACTGTTCTTGGTGCTGTTGCAGGATTAATTCCGTATCCTCATCATAACCAGTCTCCCAGAAATACTTATCAGTGTGCGATGGGTAAACAAGCAATTGGTGCTATTGCCTACAATCAATTCAGAAGAATCGATACTCTATTATACTTGATGGTCTACCCTCAACAACCAATGGTTAAAACAAAGACTATTGAACTCATCGACTACGACAAATTGCCTGCGGGTCAAAATGCTACTGTAGCAGTCATGTCATATTCCGGTTATGATATTGAAGATTCGTTAGTCCTTAATAAAGCTTCCATTGACCGAGGATTTGGGCGTTGTCAGGTTTTAAGAAAAAATACTGTGACTTTGAAGAGGTACCCTAATCATACGAAAGACATTGTAGCAGGCATGAGAATTGATGAAAACGGAGACCCAATATATGTACATGAGTCACTTGGCCCCGACGGATTGGGAGAAGTTGGTATGAAAGTTGATAATGGACAAGTCTATGTGAATAAATGTGTTCCTACAAATGCTGGTGAATCAGTTTTGGGCGGACCAGATCAACCTCAGCAGAGCCATGAAAGCCATAGAGAGACACCGGCTTACTATAGAGGTCCTGAACCATCTCATATAGATCAAGTTATGATGTCTGTCGGCGATAATGATCAGGCATTAATTAAGGTCCTTTTGAGGCAGACAAGAAGACCCGAACTTGGCGACAAATTTTCCTCACGACACGGACAAAAGGGTGTCTGTGGAATAATCGTTCAACAGGAGGATTTACCTTTCAATGACCAAGGTATTTCACCTGATATTATCATGAATCCCCATGGATTTCCTTCTAGAATGACGGTAGGTAAAATGATTGAATTAATATCAGGTAAAGCGGGCGTTTTGAATGGCTCTCTAGAATATGGGACTTGTTTCGGAGGTTCAAAGCTTGAAGATATGTCTAAGATATTGGTAGACAAGGGATTCAGTTACTCTGGTAAGGACATGTTATATTCAGGAGTCACTGGTGAATGCTTGCAAGCATATATATTTTTCGGTCCTATCTATTATCAGAAATTGAAGCATATGGTTTTAGACAAGATGCATGCAAGGGCAAGGGGACCTAGAGCCGTCTTAACAAGACAGCCTACTGAAGGAAGATCTAGAGATGGTGGATTGAGATTGGGTGAAATGGAAAGAGATTGTGTGATTGCCTACGGTGCTTCTCAGCTTTTGCTAGAAAGACTTATGTTGTCATCTGATGCGTTTGAGGTAGACGTTTGCAGTAAGTGTGGTTTAATGGGCTACAATTCCTGGTGTACGTCCTGTAAGAGCTCAGAAAATGTCATAAAAATGACGATTCCGTATGCAGCCAAACTATTATTCCAGGAGTTGATATCTATGAATATTGCTCCAAGATTAAAGTTAGGAGATGTATTTTGAGCCTAAATTTTATATTCATAGAGATGTATAGAGTTGCAAAAGTTTAGAATACTACGACATTTGATAGATAATTATTACAGGTCACTCGGAATTTGTGTTACAAATCCTCAAAAAAACTCGTCTCACGTAGGACACCTTAAATCTAAAAAGGCATTTAGCTATTCAAAATTATATAAAATGAGTGGGGGAGCCACTCGATCTCTTCTACAATCAAAAATGATGATGGTCTGCTTCTTGATAGTTATTTTGTTTTTTTTTGCAAACGAAGCACATACTTCACAATTAAATTTAGAGGATGCGCTATTCTTGACAAAAAACTCATTCAAAGAGCTAAAGGAGCAGTATTTGTCGAATGGGATAGCCAAGGACCAGGTGAAGAAAATACATTACCAGGGAAGGAATACATTTGACATAGATCATCCCTTTAATAATGTTGTTAATTCATTTTTCCCAATAGACTCAGTCATAGAGTATAACATTTCGAGCAGTGATGAACCGGCGAACGAGTCCCTTCATCAAATGACTGCGAGATATGCTGCATTTAGCCCTATTTTGAATGAAGATTTGAAAAGCAAATACTCAATATTTCCATATGACGCTTGTCAGAAGCTAAATGAAACTGGTTACGAGAAATTTCAAGATAAAATTTTAATTCTACTAAGAGGTGGTTGCACCTTTGTTGATAAGGTTACAAATATTATTGAATCAAGCATTGATCCAAAAGCGGTCATAATTGGCAACAACGAACCACAAAAGGGCTTGATAACAATGTATCTGGCTACCTTTAATGATGACAATATGTTGCGGATTCCTATTTTGTTTGTGACGTATGAGGACTATCAAACCTTAAAGGATCTTAAAAAGTTGGATTTGGTTATATCTATTAGTACTGCGGCATTGGGAAGCTGGTTTAATATCTTGTTGTCTATGGTTTTGTCGCCTCCACTATTGATATTTTTATTCTATGCATTCGTCAAATTCTTTCAAATGTGGCGTAGAAAGCAGAACAACAAGAAAAATCAAAACTTAGTCAAGAAGCTACACGTCTACATATATAATCGAACGCATTTGATAGATGCTAACTATTTTGATCATTATTTGAAAGTCACTGGCCAAGTAAAGCCGTCAGCAATGCATCTATCATCTTCACTGAGGTCAGCTTCAAATGAACCGAGCCCAGCGTCTTCGAGAAGCTCCTTGAATGGCTTAGTAATTAACGGCGTCAATCTTAAGGGATCATCGAATCTGCTACATGTTTTGGTGGCACCTGAAGACTTTTATCCGACTTATAAATGTTCCATTTGCCTCGAAAAGTTCGTTCCCTTACAGTCGAGAGTCTTATTATTGGACTGTAAGCATTTATATCATGAGACATGTTTATCAAACTGGTTGATCAATTTTAGGCGAAGCTGCCCTTTATGTAATAATACATTTGATCGAAACAAAATACCTTATGTTCTGCACAGTCTTGGAGGATCTGGATACGGCAGCGTCGATCACGTTGATAATGAATTTCTGGGAATGGGTGCCAGTCGGTCAGATTTATCCTTGGAGGCTGAAAACCAAGAACAAGTCATACCATTTGAAGCACCTTCGCCGAATAATGGAGTTATTATCCAGGATGAGCCCGAATCAAATGCTATATCTCAACATATGGGATCTTCATCACAGACGGAACAGAAATTGGTACCAGAGCCGGCTCTGGTACATCCACCGTCCTCTTCTAAAAGCACATCTGACTCCGTTCGCTCGAATGTGTCTTTCTTCTCAGCAAAGTCGCAATCAGATCCTACTAATATGTCTACTTTTCATCATTACAGTAGGCCACTGCAGGTTCTAAGCAGGTTTGCTTCTTTCGCAAGTTCCGATTCTGGTAAGGAACTAAGTCAAAGTATAGACTCCAACGATTTTGTCACAGCGAAATCTGCCCTCGCATCTCCAGTAAGGCTCAGTAGCCAGGACTCGACATCAAGAGATACAGATATCTCTGCTCTTTCTGACTCTACAATCACGGAAGAGCCTCATGTTACATAATCGTGTCGTGAGTTAACGTGAGTATTACAATGAAAGTTACTACCGTGAATTACATCTTTAAGTATGATTTGAAAGAATTTGGATACATCTATAGTCGTATTTGTAAAATGTCGTGTAAAAGATCAACCCCACGATCTGTGAGCATACGACATTGTATTAGAAACCTTTTCACCGCTTTTAGCTGACGCTAGAGCACAACACTAGGTATTGGTGTAACTAAACCTTATGGAAGGAACTCTAGCTATGCTCATAGTATAAACCAAAATATTTTATTACTACGATGAATGGAGATAATTCACCTAAAATTGATCATATGAATATTGTTGATTCTAATAATTTGATACCAAATTCATCGAGTTATCAAGAGTCAAAGAGCATAAATGGGAATAACGATGGAGATGATGTAAATGTCAAAAGAGAGAACACCAAACAACAACGAAAAAGAAAAAAGAAGGTCGAAATTGCTTGTGTGTACTGTCGAAGGTCACATATGATTTGTGATGATTCTCGACCCTGTCAACGTTGTATTAAGAGAGGGATAGGGCATCTTTGTTATGATGAGCCTTCAAATTCAAGGCAGAGAAAGAAAGCGGCAGCATTAAAGCAACATGGAGGTGTCGGGTCACCTCCTGCTTATCCAAGTGAAGGATTGTTAACAAACTCTGAAGGTGAGAACATATCTGATGAAATGCGAGGAAAAGATCAACGTATGATGCCTGCAATGAGCCAAGTAACCCAACAAAAGCCGAATGGCTCTGTATTATCTCAAACATTACCTTATAATCAAGAACCTTTTTTTTACTCTGAGCACGCAGGAAGTGAATTCAGCTCCTTGAATGATTTTTTATCCATGATTGATGATCCTGAATTAGTGAACGGTGCTTTAAACGATGATAGCAGTCAAGCAGACGTTATGCTTAACTTTGGTTTTTCTCAAAATAATGGTTCTGGAAATGGTGTTAGTAATGTCAGCTTAGTGGGAGACTCCGGGAAAGGTGCAAACGTATCTAATATGCTCTCCTTTTCACCACAAGCCAATATATTTCCTCAATCGTTTCCAAACGAAACTGAAATTGCCCAGCTTCCCACTCGACTGCCAAGTCAAAAGAATCATTTTAATAATAACTCTTATAAGACCGAAAACCTGAACCTGAACTTGAATGTTGGTTCCAATGCCCTGTCACGGCCCGTAATATCAGATTCTGCCAGAGACAAGTTTTTTTTAACAGCAGCTGATCCAACCACAGAAATTTCTCCGGAAGAGAGGTTGAAGCAAGTAATAAAGGCCAAATTAGAGGCAGGTTTGCTACAACCTTACAATTATGCAAAAGGATACGCTAGATTACAAAGTTATATGGATAATTATATGAATTTGTCTAGTAGACAAAGGATTTTGAAACCTTTATCGATATTTCGTCCTGCTTTCCGCGCAATTGCAAGAACCTTGAAAGATGTTGATTTAGTTCTAGTGGAGGAAAGCTTTGAGAGGATGCTTTTAGATTACGATAGAGTATTTACCTCTATGGCCATACCTGCATGCCTTTGGCGGCGTACAGGTGAAATTTATAGAGGAAACAAGGAATTCGCATCTTTAGTTGGAGTAATTACTGATGACTTGAAAGATGGGAAGTTGGCAATATATGAATTGATGAGTGAAGAAAGCGCCGTCAACTTCTGGGAAAAATACGGCGCGATCGCGTTTGACAAAGGACAAAAAGCCGTACTTACGAGCTGTAACTTGAGGACGAAGGATGGAACAAAAAGGAAAAGTTGTTGCTTTAGTTTTACAATTCGCCGAGATAGATACAACATTCCTAGCTGTATCGTTGGTAACTTCATTCCTATTGATCCTTCCTAAGTAATGTATTAGGATTTATATTTGCGCTCTGTAATCATATATACTTTTATAAATGTGCAACTTATTTATCCTCTTCTAACTCGGATTCATCATTTTCTAGATCGGCCATTTCAATTTCTTCCTCCTCGTCATCTTTTTCTTTCTGTTCACGGGCTTTTTCTTCTTCCGCTACTGCTTCTCTGAGTATTCTCATTTTCTCGTCTTTCAACTTTCTTTGTACAACTACATATTGACCCAAGGGAGTCTTTTCCCAGTCGAAATCTTTCAAGAAAAGTTGAACCTCAGCTCTGTTTGAGGGTCCATATTCAACATTTGCTCTCTTTTCAGTTATAAACCTTGCATTAGTATTCAATTTCTCGACTAATTGTTGTAATTGCTTATTAAACTTCATGTTCTTCGATTTCTTTAAAAATCTCCTCAACAGTAATACTGCAGGTGTCACCAACTCTGGAAATGCAATGTTCTTTGAATATAAAACGAAAAATTCTCCTGTCAACTCTACGAATTGTTCACACAATCCAGTCTGATAGACCCTCGTTCCTAAGTATGCTTGGTTTACTTTAATCGCATGTTCAAAGTCTACAGCCTGTAAGCTTGACGACTTTGGTGCCTTCGTAATCGCTGTCGAAGTCAATATCTCTGAAATTAAGGGAAAAATAGGTATGTATACGCCTGTTGATTGTGACATACGAATGAGTGATCTTATTAAGTAAAATCTCAATGGAAAAAACTGAGCACTTGGAATCAACCGAATGGTACCGAGAGTGACTTGAACCAACGGATAAATCAACTGCCTCAAGGGCGATTCTTTTGATTTGTGAGCTAGCGATTCTCTCTCTGGGTTGCAAAGTTGAGAAATAACTCTTGACCAAAAATCCAAAGAATGGCAATATTGCCAATTGTAAATTGTTTTGTATCCTTCTTTAGCATTTGATGTTGCATTGATGCTGTTCCTCAAATGAATAGCTAATTGTCTGATATATTCAAATCCAATTTGGTAAGACAAATTTTCATCAACTCCAAACAAATCAGCAGCAGCATTCTTACAAAAGTTTATCATAGGCATTGTATAGATATTCGTCTTACGACAATTCTTCAAAAACGTTGAGTACATTAATCTTAAAATCATTTCTAAAACCGATTTTTTGTATTCTTTGGCTGAATTGTTCATAAATGCAAAGGCAGCAATTTGAGTCTCAATATCCACAGTACTAGACCAAACATTAACTACTGATGAGAATATATCTTTTAATAACCGTCTATGAGAAACGTAATATGGTAAAATCTCTCTAAGGGATGCCAATACTAAAACAGCCGTATCAGTATTCGTTATGTCCTTGAGCAAAGTAATATATGACCCAGCATGCGACTTGAGAATACTCGACATTTGAGTAGCATTTTTCGATTGAGGGAGTGATCTGGCTCCAGTCTGAGGATTTACTTTGTATTTAACAAGCTTTTGTATGGCCGTAGGAAGCTTTTTCAAGGTCAACATCATTAATTCGTGGAATGCTGTAGGATCAGTCACTGCATACTTATAGTCTTCTTCATTCGCTCTATTCACATTAATGGCAGCTTTGAAAGCTATCGAAATGTTCCTAATTAACTTACTTGATGGCTCATCCAATTCTTTTCCCCATTTTTTTACCAAGCTAGAAGTTAGTTCAACTTTTTCAGTCTCCTGTGGGGTGTCCTTCACAATGTTCGCATTAGGAGCTTCCTCTGAAGAAAGTTCTTCTTCATCGTCGCTGATAGCATCCAATGGATTAACGCCCTCATATTCCAATAAGTCTTTATCATTGTTTTGTAAGTATTTATAAAACTCGGGGTCTTTTTCTGCCAAGTTCTCTAAATCTTGTTTCATCTGCTCTTCATCTTCAGATGACGAAGAATCATTGTCATCAATATCCTGTTCCTTACCACGAGAATGTTTCTTCTTCGGCACTTCAAAATCCCCTGAAAGAAAGTCGTCTACTGACATATCTTCAAAGACTTCTCTTGTTGCTTTGCTTTCTCTCTTGTCAGTAGCATCAGAATTTACTGGCAGTTTCTTTTTCCCATGTGTCTTGTTATATTTCTGGACTTTCTTACGATGATCTAACGTGTGCTTCAAATGTTTATTTTGGAACTTCTTGGTAGCCTTGGATGCCTTAGCCATCTTGAGCTGAAAGTTTATTAGATATAATAAAGTTATGTACTCGTCGTAAGACTCTAAGAAAATTAAAAAAAAAAAATTTAAGTGAAGTGATGAGGTGATAGTCCTGCATTTGGCACAAATATAGCTATATCAATATAAAGAGCTATTTATGTGTGGCCATCAAATTTTCCGTCAAATGCACTTCTTAACCAATTAAGAAGCTTATCGTAGACGATAGGATTAGCATTATGGAAATAAATTGAATGGTCACTATCGGGGAAGAAGTGAACGTCATAATTTTTAACATTATTCAAGTCGAACTTATCAAGTAACCACATCAGGTTTTGTAAGTGTACATTGTCATCTGCAGTGCCATGCATTATTAAAAATCTCTTAGATGCCTTGAATTTTGCATAATTAGAGATAAGGGCATATTTATTGTAACCAGTATCAGCTGAAGGTAGATTCATGTATCGTTCGGTATAAATTGAATCGTAGAACATCCAATTTGTGACTGGGGCCACTGCCATACCATATTTAAAAGTGTTTCCTCCATCTACTTCCAATGTCTTGAGTGTAGTAAAGCCACCATACGACCAACCCCATATGGCTACCTTCTGCTTGTCGATGAACTTCTCATTAGTCGAGATATAGGAAGAAGTCGATGCAATTATATCCCTCGGCTCCCAGTAACCAATATTTCCTGTTGCATAAGACATGAAATTCCAACCCTTTCCACCAGTACCTCTTGGGTCAATGATAATTACTACTGCATTCAACGTCGAACTTACTATATCTTCGAATGCGATCGAAAAAGACTTGTCCACGATTTGTGATCCTGGGCCACCATATGCATGCACCAACAATGGATATTTGTACTCAGGATCAAACATCGGAGGCAAAATCTCGATATAGTTGAGAGTCTCACCAGGAACCCCGTCGCCCTCCACTTTTATCGTCCTATAAAACTTAGTTGGGACATTTGAATTCTGCAATTCTTTGCATGTATTATTATAATCGTTAATAGGTTCAATTTCATCTATTATAGGATCAGTACCAGCTTTTATCGTATAAGCATTCGATCCGAAATACATATGAACATTCTTCATATTTATTAGTTTTTGCCATGGAGGTTTTGGTCCCAAGTAACGTAGTTCAACGTAATTACCATTTGAGCTGAACTTAGCTTTGTATTTTCCGTCTCTCTGAATGCCCGTAACCGAATAAATATTATCCTTATATCGAGACAAATCAATAGCTATCAAGTGTGCATCCAATGAACTCCTCATAGTCGTTAATACGTAGATGAAGTTTTCATCTGCATTATACGCAATAGGACTTCCATCCACAAGTCCCCACTCAGACGAATTGGTCAACAATCGTGAGTACTGAGCTGAAGAGGCTTTCTCGAATATCGCCAAGTGAGTTTGGCCATTTACAGTAACTTTATCAACATAGCTGTTGATACCACGGTCCTGTGGGATAACTCTCATCAGAGTCTGTTTCCCTATCCAACCATTGAATTCTAAAGAGGCATTAAAAGTACTCACTTCCCTGACTCGCGAAGACCTCTTGGGGTTTACTATTTGTTTTGAAAGTATTTTGCTAGTCCTGTCGCTAATTTTCATCAAGAAGTGCTCAGAATCAATCCAAATGGCATCATAAAGAATGAAGTCACTTCCTACATTATTAAGTACACAGTTCAACTCATAATTTTTCCTTTGGGAAAACTTGAAGTTATGTAACGTCAATTTAGGATTATTCGTGCCTGGTTTTGGATATCTCAAAGACATCTTCTCGGGATATTGAAGAACGCTATTGCTTTCTGATGAGCGTAATACTTCATCTGAATGGTCCATATAATAGTTTATGTCATAGCGAGCGACACCAGTGTCATCTATCTTTGCGTATATCAAGTTATCTTCATCAGGAGACCACCAGAATAACTTATCGTTAGCAGCAACCTCTTCTTCATAAACCCAATCTGGCTTTCCGTTGAAAATATCCGGACCACCATCATCTGTGACTGGAATAATCTCACCAGTACTCAAAATCTGAATATACAAATTATGCTTATAGCCAAATATAATCTCATCTCCAGTGGGAGAAAATTCAGCGAAATGAAGCTTCTGCAATGGTTTGACACTAGTCTCGTCCTTTAGGTCGTCTAAGTCTAAAGGGGGTTGAATTGAGGCATATTCAGAAGTATTTGAGTTGAATAGCCAATAATGTCCAAGCGTCAGATGTCTCCATTTGTCAGATAAATCAGATATCACTATGTGAAATGTTGATCTATCGTCGAATGGTTTCCTGGGGTTCAATTTCAATTCTTGAGCATAATATACAGCCTTCCTGAACCGAAATTGCAGATCTTCAATCAAAACCCTATTTTCTTTATTTTTAATATCTTTTATAACAAACGAATCGTTCACATTTCTACTTAAATAGTACCCTTCTCCTTTTCTATGTTTTGGGTATTGTGATTCATCTAACCAAGTGATCGGTAAATTAGAGGTATAATATGCACCTTCTCTATAGCTTTCCATAGTCACGTTCTGAAACTTCAAGCTAAAGCTATTGAGCTTGATATCTTTCCCACCAATGTTTATGTGTCCCTCCCATATTCTTTCTGATGTATTGACCAGCAATCTCGAGTAGAAAACGAGTCCAACTAACCATATAAAGGCCACAAGGCCACATCCGAAACTTAATAGCCATTTTCTTGACTTCTTATTATCACCGTATATTCTTAATGCAATCTGAAATATTGGATTATTGATAAACAGGTCTATGTTTTCACTGTCCACAACTTTGGCTCCCTCTTCGAGTTCCTCAAATACCAACGAGAATTCGGAAGCATTTGATAATCGACTGTCCAGAGAATCTTCAGATCGTCGCAAGTCATGCTCCTGGTCCTGAAAGTGAGCATCTAGTTCGAACTCTTCAGGAGAATTGTCTTTTCCGAACATCACCTATTACTTTTTATTAAATAGATGTTTTAAACCAATCAAAACAAAAAAAAAATTAAATATCGAGTTATTTCATTGACAGTGTATACCTATCCAAAATTTATTGTTGATAGGGTTATCGTAAGTTCTCAAATACTGGAAAAGTACTTCTTGAATTGAATTTACTCTATTCGGATCTTAAAGTATTCCTCCATAGTGTTAGATCCAAAATCATATCTTCTATTATACAGTACCCTCTTTTGAGCCTTGTATGCCGAATATTACCTATAAAACATTCGAGGTATAGCTGTTAACAAAACTACTTGGTGCAATAAAAGGGTTACAATGAACCAAAAGCAGGCTACTAGCTTGTATTCCCAAATATTTAACCCATTGATACCAAAGGACTATGACTTCTTTAAGACCCTATGTTATACATCGTTGGAAAGAGAATCGTTGTCGTCAATTTTAAGTTCAAATGAGAATTTATTGACTTCTGGAAGTCAATTTAGTCACTCAATGGTTCAAATATTTGCTAGTGGAGTAAGAGTTCTAGAAGATTTGATAAGAAATGAAGAAACTAGTGGTTCAGGGCTACATAAGCTGCGAAGCTTGGCTGAAAACAATGTTGATAATGCTGGAATAATACATAATACAACTTCTCGCGATCCTTCAACGTCAAATGCAGACATGCAAACATATCAGTCGAGTGACTTAGAGGAGGCCAATGATCTTACTGAACTTGCATCGGAATCTGGACGACGAAGCAGCAGTATCAGTGTTAATCTGCATTCCATGCTGCGCTTGTCTAGCTTAGATGCTATAAGTGAGAATCGAGCTCACGAATATGAAGGGGGCCAAGCCCTCTTAAATGCCCTTGAAGTGATGCGTATCTGGTTTATGAGCATATCTAAAATGAATGAAAGATCACTCAAAAAGAAAAATACATTTGGGGAGCACTCAAATAATGATTTGATTCCCATATTATTTGAAGTCTCAAAACAATCGCCAGGTTTAAACGAAAAATACTTTTTTGATTTCCTAGCAGCATTGAAGTTATTCTTAAAGACATCTCTTGTTAGCATTCAAGATTCTAAACCAAATTTCACTTCAAATCTCAAGGCAATGAAGGCTATTATCTTTTTGTTGGTCGATGTTTTGAGCTCATTATTTTCCTCATTTTTATTTCAGGAAATAGACGCAGTACCAGTTGCTACCAAGGCTCTTTTATTCCTGTTTTTCCTGGTTGACTTTTCCGATATTTTTGACTCTTTACTAAGAGTAACATCTCCCACGTTTGACCAGAATGCAGTTGTCTATAAATCCCCAAAAGTCAATTTATCATTCGATACTTTGATGAAAGTTTATCGAATAATAGGGATTCTCTCCAATACATCGAGTAAAATACTACCTATTGTTCCATCAACATTATCTTCAGATATCACGAGTATCTCTGAATCACTTAATGCCTATGACCAATACTTTTCAAGAATAAAGAAAATTGACCGTTACACATTTGACTTAGAGATATCGCTGAAAATGTTACCCATACTTGCAATTGATTTTAAGTACTGCTACTTGTTTAAGCCTGACTTACTCGAGCATCGTATCAGAAGTGCGTCATTCGCCAACTGGCTTACGGCTAATTTGTTCAATGGAAGTAATTATATGCGATATCAGACTATTAATCGAATAGTGGATTTTCATAAAAATTATAAAGCATTTACATATTCAAAAGATACGGATGATCCTTATTTGGCGGAATTGGAGAAAATTCAGCTATCAAGAATGACTTCTGTCGCTCAGAGGCTGGAAGATGATAATATAGAAACTAGTGACATGTTACCGATTGCGTTTATACTTTTTACTTACTCAAGAAGTCTGTCTTTCCTTCAAGCATTGATAAGTGAACAGCTGTTGAACTTGCTGAAGCTGCCCAATTCGACTCCTATCAAATTATTGGAGATTTGGCTCTCCACGCTTTCTTATATTTTTCAATATCAATACAGAACAGTCAACTTACAAGCCGTTGCTAAACTACTGTTAGCAATTTTGGTGAAGCTTACATCCAACAAATCAATTACAAAGGATTCTAAATATGTCCCAATTAAAGCATTAAAAAAGTGTCAAATTGATGAAAATATCTGGAAATTATCGCATCAAAAATCACCAATAATACCCTTGAGCCCCAGTGGTGGTAGGAAATCTCATCTTTTTTATATTTTAGACACTTTACAGAATCTTATCAGGTTCAATTTAACAAAACGATTGGAAATCGATAATTACAATCTATGTTTTAGCATAATTTTTCAAATCTTGAAAGAGTTTCTAGAGGACAAAGAATTTGACATATCGAATTATGCCTGGTCGGAATTTAGCAAATCTGTTGTGATGGTTCTAGTTTTTGTTAAAAAACAAAACATTTTGAATTCAAAATATTTGAAGGCAACGAATAATTACGCCTCTTTAATGGCATTAATTGAGGAAATATTAATTGTAATAAATATCCTTTTGATGAAGAGATTCTGCTCGGTAGAATCCAAAGAGGAAGGATCGACTGATCAAAAGTCAATAATTTATGATTTGATTTATAATATACTTTTGAATTATGATCTTTTTGATAACATTTTAATTGAGTACGATTTAGAAGATCTGCCTAACTTGAAACGACTAAACGAATGTATCACTTATCTAGACAGTCAATTTCACTTCGAATCTTCTTTGGCTCATGGTACCAAATCTAAACGCGATCTACAGGACGTAGAGTATGATTCTCCAGTCCTCATTAATACTATTTCAAATTTCACCGCAGAGCCTAACAATCAGTTGTTTAACGAATTGAAACATAAGTACAAGTTCAAGAATACGTTCCGATACCTTGATATGAATTACGATGAAGCCTTCTTTGACGATTCTTACTTGGTGAAAATATTTTATATTATGTCAAAAGATACTTTATAGGATCTAAGTAAGTATATAGTCTCTTGCATGACAGTTAAATAAAAGATAGAACAACTCTCAAAAGTTGGGAGCATTTACTTACCTTCATGATAATTCCTAAACATGTCCATAACACTTGTGTAAACAACCAACAAAATACCACCACCTGGGCCCAACCTCAAGACTTTTGGAATGAAGCCTTTGTACAAAGCAGCAAGGCCCTCTTCCTTTGCGACCATGAATAATGAAGGGAACGTCCAAATATACTTCGTTGAACCTGCTTGAATTCTAGATTTGACAACATCAATTGGTGTATTCACTACGGTACCAAAAGTCCCTCCTATAGAACCACTAATTAAATCAAAAACCGTTTTCTCTGACGAGCTTTTGGGTTTAGGCATAAGACTTCTAACCTGGAAAATCAAACCAAAATATCCAGCATTCCAAAAGATATGTCTCCACATGGTTGATTCCAAACCTTTATACATACCGAAGATACCATTGTTTTTTATGATATCTTTAATAACGTCCCCCATCCCGTTGAACTTCGATGTTCTATCTTGCAACTTGATCTTAACTAATTCGAAAGGAACCACAACTAAAGCTTCAGTAGCACCAGCTGTTGCACCTGTTAAGACTGCCAATGGCTGAGACATTGTAGCGACACCAAATATACCTCTATAAAACTCACCCCACTTATCATTAGCAGCGAATTTGGTAGCTCTCTTTGGGGCCTCCATGAGAATTGGCGCAAGGATACCCTTATACAACCTCGAAGCACCTTCCTCCTTAACTATCTTTTTCACGCAGTTAATGGTACCAGAGTAAGCATTTGTGTTATCTAATTGTTGTCTAGTCTTGACCACGTCCAATGGATACATCACCAAAATTTCTGATACTCCAGCGACAGCACCAGACGCAAACTGATAAATAAATGGCAACGGCTTTGGATCTGCTGACATTATTACTCTATTTTATATTAGCGAATTGAAAACTTATCAATTATTCGATATGAAAATTGGAATAGATAAAAAGATTAAACAGTATACTAAAAGTTTTTCTATAAGATCAAGATGTCTCCAAATGTCTATTGTAATTAACCTGCAATATTTAGAGTAATCATCGAGAAATGAAAATGTCTAATTTCTGAGAAATTGTCAAATTGAAAGAAGCTGACAAAATTCGGTCCCCACAGTGGAAAAATTGATTTCCGGGCCAAGGAAAGTCTCACCAAAATTATACAGCAGCGGGGTCAGGCGCTGCGAAACTCAAAGATAAGGTTGTTGCGACTGTTATAGATGGCGTTGGGTGTAGTCATGTCATGGGAGCCTAATATTTAAGAGTGAATTTACGTGATTGTAGACTATAAACATGAAAAAGAAAAAAAAAAACATCATTGATCGATCCCCCTATCCTTTGATTTAGTTGCAGCCTTTGGGCCATCCGATATAGGATAGTTAACAAAATCAAAGAGTGCGATTCAGATTCCTGCTTCTACCGGGTAACTTAGCGAGGAAAATTTTCATGTTTTATATGCGACTTGTGAAAATTGAATGGAAAATATTACCTTTTTTTTCTTTGTGCGGCAGCCATGACTATAACCGTGTTGCTTGTCATTTCAGATATCCCAACGAGTTGGCGAGCGTCAAGTCATTGGCGAGAATAATATCCGTTTCGATTTATTCGACGTGGAAATGGGCCATCTTAATGCCCTCTCAGTGATTTAATTTACGTGACTGTTCAGGTTCTTCCCGAACATGTTATATGGAGATCATTGAGGGCTGGTAGGTCAAACATTTTTAAATTTTGAAGAAGCTAAGATGTTTTCTTCTGTAGAATCGAAGTGTAACTATTCACATCTGCAAGCCTCTTACAATAGCAAAGGAGAAGTTGATAAATACTCCGGCGATGATGGACATTCTTTGCCTTTTGTTAAAAATTGTGTCATCTGCAACAAGGAATATGAGACTGACGACACCCAAAAATATCCCCACAAGTAAGCCTATCAACAAATCTTCATTTGCGTTTGCATCGTCCAAATCTACCAGGGGCTGAGGAGTGCCGTCCTCTCTTTCCTCAGTGGCAGCATTTGGAGGCTCCTGTCTATTCGGGGTTCCCGACATCGTAGATTCTATCCATCTCTCTTCTAACTGCCGAGCAGTATTCTCCCTTTGCTCCTCTTCTTCAAGGTTCATGATTTGGTCAGCATCGGAACTAGTAGGTTCATTTGGATTGTAAATCAGATGAAATTGCCTCCTCAAGTCATTCACATCATCTTGCGAAAATCCCTGCTGTAGCAAGCGATCGAATCCAGTGACTTCAGGGTTAGTTGACACTTCTTGAGGTTTATTGTCTAATTGGTTTTCCTTTGCTAACTGATCCTTTGCAAGCTCTTCCCCCACTAGACAATGTATGTATATCTTCTCTTCTTGAGTTTGGTTATCGCTATTCAATTGCTTGGTCTTCGGGTCAAAAACTTCACTTTTGAAGTCTGTATTCTCATTCAATATTCTGCCGTTATATATGAGCCTTAAACGCTTACTCTGGCACTCGGGTACGTCACTTCTTATCGTCGATTTTAGCCAGCGAACACTGACTAATTTATTCACATCATCTTTTTCTGTATTTATTACTAATGGAAGTTCCAAGTCTTTTAGCTGCTTGCTAGAGGCAGTAGTACTTGTGAATCTTATCACCAAGTGATACTTCATGGCACAATTTTCCTTCTTTTTGGATTCTTCCTCAGATTAAAATAAGGAAGTTGATATCTTACAAGTTCGGTTTTGCCGTTCTCAATTTTGAATTAATCTAATATAATTCAAAGAGAAGATTTTTTATATTACTCTAACAGAAGACAATGGCCACAATTGAAGGTTCTAAAGTTCAGGAATCTACAGGGAACCCAGAAGATTCCATAAGCGAGAGTTCAGGTATTAGATATGCTGCGTATACTAATCGACTTAGAACTATTCTAGTGGCGTCACATCGTTATGTTGCCTACACTTCCGACATTGGGGAGTCATTTCGTCCCATAGCTCACCCATTCTTGGTCACTGTAGGGTATGGTATCTCTTGGCTTTATATTTTAGGGGATGTACTGTACACCTCTTGGAAGGTAAAGATGAGGTCAGAAGGTAGATATACTCCAGGATTAAAGCCGTGGAATTATCCGTATCCTGAGAAGAATTTTCTAGCAAAGGAGGCGTTTGATGCTACTAATACTAAGGCTGTAGACTCGGATTGGAGATTGGTTGGTTTAAAAAGAGGTGTTTTCCAAAGTATAGCCTCGATGGGATTGCCTGCGTTCACGATTCACAGTTCTGTAAGATATTCGTCGTATTTTTTTAAGAATGCTAAATCTAGGGCCTTGAAATCGTATGGCCCCGTTGGAGTTGGGTTGTGTATAGTTCCATTATTACCTTTGGTTTTTGATGAACCAGTAGAACATGCCATCGATTGGTTGTTCGACAAAGGAGAGGAAGTTTATAAGAAGAAGTAAAGTTTTTGGATGTCGTATATACTTATTTATTCTGCGAGATTGATGGAAGTCATTTTTAGTTATGGCTTTGAATAGTTTAATGTTCCACACCTTTCACAAGTTCTTGCTTCCATATTTCCATCAAAAGTTGCAATTGCTTCTGCTACCTGCGTTCCTAGATCTGAACAATAAAAATCGATTTCATATATAACCTCTCCGCATTTACTACAATACCATCTAATTTTATCATTGACTCCTTGTGGTCTATCTTGTTCAACGACTAGACCTATTGTGTCAGCAAATCTCACCGGACTATGTGGAGTATTCCCTGGTAAAAGAAATGAGTCTCCTTCATTGATAATAATATCCTTAAATTCTCCTTCATCGACAACTTTAAGGCACATGCTACCTTTTAGTTGGTGAAAATATTCTGGAGTCTGGTTGATATGGTAATCCGTTCTCTCGTTGGGACCGCCCACGATCATAACTGTAGATCCGCCTCTGTGTAGGCAATAATTATTTACTGGAGGTTGAAGTAAATGACCATTGTCTTCGATCCACTTCTTTATATTTATGGGAGCTGGAAGCATAGTATCAAATTGCCTTTGAATTCATTCAAATACTCTGCTGACATTACCTTCAGATCATCTAATTTTTAGATTGAGCTTTTAAGCTCGTGACTTCGAGTTCGCTTAATTGATAAGATTTACATCTGGAATTTTTTTCTTAAGCCTTATTGTTGAAATCCTACATATTTGGACACATCAACCTTAATTAAGTACTCTAATTAAGTACTCTTCATAGCTATAAGTGAAGTAATAGGTGGTTATCACGAGCTCCATCTATAATTAAAATTGATAAAAAAAAAAATTTTTTTGAG